GTACGTAGAATGTTTCGCAAAGATTTGATATTTTAATTGAAAACGAAAACATATCTGATACCCAGGGCGAGTGAGAAATTTTGAAGGCTTCGGGGCCGATCGGTTTCAGGCACTCTCAACTTTAATTTGTTTGGCCAACTTGTACATACTTTAGTACAAAATAAATGTTCAAGTTTGTATCCTATGCCACAGCGAATGAGATTATAATATGATTTTGAATAAATGATTGATCTCTCGAAGATACGGGCCCACGGGCTTTATCCCTTCCTGTCCTAACCTTCATCTGGCTTGACTAATACTTGATTGACGAGCAAAAAAAAGGGAAAAACACATGATCCTCGTTTCGTATGAGCGATGATGTTTTTTTTTTTTTTATTCGTAAAAAAGTAAAACACGCGATCCGGTTGTTCTGAAATTCTAGATCGTCCACCTATTTGCGTAATATTATTTTGTACGTGCGTCAATCGGACGGAGGTGAAGCGGTATACATGGCGCCGGAACGCCAAAATTTCTTTTTCCAACGTAAATTGTAATAATATTAATCATAATATAACTCATGGGCAATGAATTTCCTCACAGTTAAAATATTACATTTGGACATAAGACTAGACCAATATTTCATTATTTTTTTCCTTGGCTTTACGAGCCATTTAAGTTCTTGGACGCCAAAATTTATTTTTTTTTTATCAATTAGATACCGCGACCGTGGAAGTGCGGTATGTCGGTGATGAATTCGTATATGCATATTATTAATATCTATTATTACATCGACCAACACTCATAATATACTAATATCAACCAAGTTAATTTAATTTTGTCACGTTACATGTTTTCCTTCAATATTTCTACGAATTTGATTTCATAAATCATTTTAATTTAAATCATCCATCAAGGATGTTTTATAAATCGCTTAAACTATACGGTTTTAATAAACTTGCGTGTAATTTAATTCGTATCGCAAGAATCAATTATAGTTTCAGTGAAGCCCACAAATAAGCTGTCACCCATTATTTACCACATTTAGACCGCAACAACGAAGCAATATCATTCAAAACTTTCCATACATGTTTTCCTACTGCAGATAAGAAGATTATACAAACGAACAACCCTTTTGCTCAACATCCCGGTGACGTTCCGGTAGGTGTAATTTTTTATGTTCCGATATACGAATAACCACCCATACAGATGAGTCGCAGCAGACCGTACGGTTTAATGATAAAATGAAAAGGTTTGTGTCGCTCATAAATACATACCATTGGCCAGGAAATTATTGACATCAACACCCATATTTCTGGTTCAATTGTATTTTGGCAGGACAATTTGTGTTGGACACCGCGAATCGAAATCGTATTATATGTTAATCATGTGGGGTGTCGGTGGCCCTCAGAACACATTCGCAAGTACTCAATGCCATGAGAGAAATTTATTTTTTAGAAAATCGTAAAAATGATTTAAAAGTGTTAAAAAATTAAATTTTGACGAAACCATATATTTCAACTAATTTCCATGATTTAATATTAGTAATCTAGTTAAAAACATTTTATAGTTGCGTAATATTTTAACGAAGCTTGTGTTGTTTTTGAGCCACTTGAAATTTTCTATTTTTCCAAACTTTAGATGCTTCTTTTTTTGCATGATTTATAACATTCAAAGTTCAAATTATCTTAAATAGAAATTTCGTTCTTCTACTAAATCAAACATTTTTAGAAATATAAACTGATTGGATGGACCTTTTTCCTTCGAAATCGTTTTGTAATACACAGCAATCTCCCATTCTTTCATCCTTGAATGTTATCCTTATCTTTATTTTTTACAATACATATACAATAAATAGTAATTGGAATATAGATAACCTAGTTATATTAAACCTAACCGGTCATGTTTTTTTTTTTTTTAGTCATCAAATGCATTTTTGTCAGCACACATTTATTGATGTTTTATTTAAATTCATAAAGATTCCGGTCCTATACATATTCCTGTTTATATTTTTGATCTTATATAAACGCATTTATATAATACTCCCATATGATTTATTTCTACCAAATAAAAATGGTTTCTAATTCTCTACGCAGTGAAGAAAATAAAAGAATAAATATATTTTCAATCATTCAATTGGAATTCGACTCCATTTACGTGTACGCGAGAATAAAAATATTTTTTTACAAGTTAGATAGCATATTACTAATTATGCCACGACGACTGCAGTTTTAACGAAGTTCAATATCTTACACGTTTTTCCAGATATGTGTTCTGACGCAGTTACGTCGTGAAAATTAATTAAGGGGTTCATTTTTGTAATGATTTCGCTCGGAGAACGGTCGTGTGCAACATTTTAATCGATAACAATTTACCCGTTAAAATTGATTTCGCATAATTGATGACGTCCTTTTTTTTGTAGCAATATTTTTATTTGTACTTATTATTCTTATTTTTAACATTGGATTTCATATATGAAATAATGTGATAAAACTATCTTCACCGGAAATAGTAATTCCTAACCACGCACGAATTGACACGACCGATAACTGAGATCGTCTAGTGATCAACATTCTCTCCGTAGATCTGTAGGTACACGTAAAGTAAACTTCGGTTACAATTAATTTTAGAAGTTCATACTATATAGCTCCGATAATATAGACACCAAAAGTACATTTTAATTCTTATAAAATGTTGATAATATAAATAATAAATTAAACGCGTAAAATAATAGTGGACGATGTTTACAATACGCAGTATGGGATAGGTATAATTTATTTAAACTAAAATTAACCACAGACTAATTTCATGAGAATCCCGATAAAGTGAACAAATTGAATCTTAAATAAGGATTCGGTTATTGTTTGTTGTTTTGTTCAGTTGCGTTCATGAATAAAAACCTTGATCGTTTTTATTGTACATTTCAAATGCAAATGAAAAATAAATATAAGTGCATTATATGGATTCTTGCAGTATAGAAAATAAAAATTCATATATTTTTTTTTAAAGAATTTTTAGTCTATGATAATTTTATTATACTGTATACGAATACGTATTAAATTATAATAGTTCTAATTGCAAGAATATGACACAAGTCACCTAGAAATATTCAATATGCTTGATTACACATCGATTTTTTTTTATCAAAGTATATATATGTAATAAATTTAAAAAAATTAAATATTTCATACATTTTAAGCTAGGCTTATAATGTAGATAGAGAGAGCTATAGAGTTTTACAAGTTGGGTTATTACAACAAATACTAATAAATATATAAATACGTATAATGGTATTACAGAATTGGAATTATAGATTAAAATTTAAAAACTTGTACACAATACCACAATTTATTAATACGATACAATACTCTATAATTAAATTATAGTAGTAATCTTTTACATTATTTAAATCAGATAAAAATAAAAATAATAGTAATATATATCAAAAATAAAATTTGGTTTGAAGGAATATTATACCATAACAGTTCATTTATTACTTTTCTTTTGTTTTTTTGGTTTTTATTTTTATAATACAAAAGTTTTGTTTTATTTTAAAATGCAACGAATTAAATATAGTAGATAACTTACGAATCTTTGACCACAAGTTGTTTTTGCGTAATTACTTTAGCATATAGGGCTCTATGTTGTCTTTTATTTTTATATACTTTTTATTTGATCATATATTTTTATTTTTTTCTACCAACTTTTAGCAACTTATTCTTCGTAAGCCCTAGGTACAATGCATATAGTGCTTAAAATAATTACAAACTTCGAATGAGATTCATGTCTATTATTCTTTTTTTATTATTATGATTTGACTACGTAAAATAGTAGCGTAACGCGATGGGTGTGTAGCGGCCACACGTTTCACACGTATAATTATATAAATTATATAGCTCCTCCTTTTTGTTCTATTTGATGTAATCACGATGGAGTTTATGTTAAAATCATAATAATACGTTATAATGAGTCTACCTTTGGACTGATTATTATATGTGAGCAGTTATTCAAGATTATCGTAATTAAAAATAATTAAAACTATAATACATGATTTGTATATATTAACAATATTTTAAGAACCGTTCGTCGCTATTATAATATAATTAAGAAATCGTTTATCAAATAGAGATAACATTAAATCATACGCCAACTAAAAGAAACCTAAAAGCTCTAATTAACTAAATTATCTACGACATATGTGTTTTAAATTTAAAGAAAATTGTTTTTTTTTTTTTTTTTTAAATTATTTATAAATTATTCATATTTTGTAATACGTGTGTGTCTTATTAGCTACTATATACGAGATGGAATATGTAGAATAACGACGATAACACTAATGGAGATAATTAAAATAATGAACCATTTAATTAAGACTTATTATTGAATATTATTTCAAAGTATTACGTTATACTACGAGTTGCTTAACTCGATCATATAAGAAGAAAATTATTTCAATTAAAAATGGAAGAACGCTGCAAGTTATATAAACCTTTTTATGGTTTTGAAAATTTCAAACAAACAATGGCGTAAACGTACTTAAATGTATATAAAACGGTATTTTGATATTTTTTCAAACCGTATTTTCTGTTCAAATCTGGGTATCTATAAAATAAAACATAATAAGGTAAGGCAGTCAAAATATGTACAATATTTTGAAATGCATAAATTAAATTAATAAAAGTAATAACAGTTATATTCATATGTTAAATAAACTATTATTTTTTTTTATATTTTTAATTTTAGTATTAAACATAGTCATTATTTTTTTCTCATAAAACATATATTTAAATATGCTATTTAACTTGACTAATATTATCATAAGAATTATTTGTTAATCATTTGTAAACCTTGATAAATCAATAATCGTTGTTCATTGATTATACAAGGTCTGTTCAATAAATACGCAGACATTTAATGTTATCGGTAATGTTGTTGCACCAAAATAAACTAAAGATAATGAACATTATTTAAGTATATAATACATAATAATAATTATCTCAAATCAGTCATCGACAATACGCGTTCGAAGTTGGTCGTTTTGTATAAATTCACGGTTTCACGATGGATAATATTTCGGAGCAACGCGTGTGTATTAAATTTTGTTTCAAAATTGGTAAAAATGCGACGGAAACTTTTGAATTGATAAAATTGGCTTTTGGAAATGTTGCACTAAGCCGTGGTGTGACTTTTGACTGGTTCAAACGTTTTAAAGATGGTCGTATATCCATTGAAGATGACCATCGTCCTGGGCGTCCATTAACATCAAAAACAAATGATACCATTATTCTAGTTCGAGAAAAAATTAGATCCGACCGAAGATTAACTGTCAGAGAAGTAGCTAATGAAGTTGGCATATCAATTGGTACTTGTCATTCGATTTTATCAGATGAATTGGGTATGAAAAGAGTGTCCGCAAAATTAGTGCCAAAATTGTTAACCGAAGAGCAAATGGAACATCGCATTGAAGTGTGTTTGGATCTAAAAAATCGGGTTTCTAACGACCCAAGTTTTATAAAATCAATAATTACGGGCGATGAAATATGGGTGTATGGATATGATCCCGAAATCAAAGTCCAATCATCGCAATGGAAGACCACAAATTCACCTCGTCCAAAAAAAATGTCGTCAGGTCCAGGCAAACATCAAAGCAATGCTCATTGTTTTTTTTGATTTTAATGGTTTAGTCCATTATGAGTTTGTACCTACAGATCAGACAGTAAATCAAGTGTTCTATAAACAAGTACTAGAAAGATTAAGAGAAAAAGTACACCGTAAAAGGCCAGAAGCGTGGAAATCAAAGTCGTGGTTTTTGCACCATGACGATGCACCGGCACATTCTGCACTTTCTGTACGTGAATTTTTGACATCTAAAAATATACCAGTAGTACCTCATCCACTATATTCACCCGACTTAGCTCCTTGTGATTTTTTTTTGTTTCCAAGACTAAAAAGTACCCTCAAAAGCCACAGATTTGAAGACATTAAAAAAACTATTTATAACGTGATACAAGATCTAAAGGCTATAAATATAGAGGAAATTCAAAGGTGTTTCGAAAAGTGGCAAGATCGTTGGGAGCATTGTATTGATGCTAAAGGACACTATTTTGAAGGTGATCCATTTAAATAATTTGTAAGTTTGAAATATAATTTTTAATAATTTTAGGGTATTTATTGAATACACCTCGTAATATACCAAGTTATAACTTATAAAAAAATAACGTTTTTGACAGTTATACGTAGAATATTATGTAGAAACATTTATTAAAAACTATAGAGTGAAATATGCTAGTAGTACGTTATTTATTTTATTTTACTTAATTAATTTCATAATGTACACAAGTATAATGTTTTTCTAACCATTTTTTTTTCATATTAATTAATTTTTTTAATTGCAATCAGATGCTCTGAAATTTTTGTTAAGATATGGTATTGTAAATCGAATACATTTAAATTAAAATTGTAATAAATGTCTGTACTTTATATTATTTCGGCTTAACACAGTGAAAGAGTATATCATTTAATATTTATAAATATGAATTTTCCTGTCAAAAGGCATAAGCTACGTTAATGAAGATATGTTTGTGTACTCGTAAGCGTGCGTAGACATTACTGGCGGTACATAACGCATTACATTTTATATTAATAACTATTTTGGATGAGGTAACTTTATTTAACTGCATTTATCATAGTAAAAAAAATATTTTATAAATAATAATATAATGATGACTTATAATGTATTTATGTAATGCAATTTAATTAATAAGTAAAAAATTTAACAACGTTATGTATATACGTATGTTTATGTACTCATATTGTCATTTTACAGACTTGGATGAAATGTACCTAATTGAAAAGTATTTAGAATTAGTACTCAAATAACAATTAATAAAATCATATTCAGATTCAGATCATGTTTAATAAAAATACAATTTCCGATTTTAAATAATCACAAAATAATTTTTCGACTACGTTAGGTTTATTTTTCGAGATTATAATATCGTACCGTGAAGTAAGTTTATAGTAGTAGTGGTAAATAGTTTAACATATTAGACGCTGCAATTTTTGAAAATTTAAATCGTTAAGGTTATAGAATACAATAACTGATGGCATTGAATTTAACGATAAACTTAAAATTCTAAAAAAGTAAAAATATTTATTTCACGAAATAAAATATTTTTGTCAATTATTCAAAGTTTAATAGCATATAATAACATATAGCACTATATATATATAAATATATATAGGTATGAAAAGTAGATAATTTATTTGAAAATAATACTCCAGTCTGACGTTTTATATAACGTATCAACTTCGGAAATTGTATTTGAAACGATCGAATGGTCGAATCATTTTCAAAAAATGTCTACGAATGTGTGCTGTACGTAAACATATTTGTTTATATGAGTGCACTTCTTTGGGTTTTTTGAAACATTCAGTATTATTTTTCTTTTAACGTCCTTTTGAATAAACTAATATGAACGTTAATGGAAATGTCATGCAACATCCGATTTAGTATATAGTAACAGGTACGTGATTTAAGTTTATTATTTTTGAAAGACTTTTTTCGCTATACATTATTTGTTGTTGACAGCATATTGAATTACATGCATGTTGATGAACGTCTCTGGGAGTAAAGAAGATCATGCCTGTAAACCAGTATTTATTTTACATCAAAAGAGCGCTTTACATACATAATATTCCTTTGCGGTGAACCTATACTCGTATGTGTAATGTATAGTGACGATAAGCTTAAAAATTAACTAACATATGAATAACGTACTACGTATTCGCGTTGTTATCAAATTAAAATATTGTGTTAATTTTCCAGTTCAATTTGTAACGTTAAGTATCGGGACTGTTCTTGAATCTATGTATATTTTCTATACCTCTATACTTTGATTAAACTGTCCAGTTCATTTCCATGCATTTTGGTTCGTGAAAATGTAAACTAAAATATCAGATCATGTAAGAGATATATGCATCCTTAGACGCAAATAAAGGCAGAGCTTAGCTCCTTTAAGAGTTAATCTACACAGAATTTACAAATGCGCACGCAATTTCAATGACACATCGATTTATTATATGATACCTAATTTTTCCTTTATTTTAAACGTTGACAATCATTTTTATACTACTATGTTCTGTATTTTGTTAAAGCTTTTATTACGATCATCGACAGACAAATCTTCAAATTGACGATGTGTATCCACAGCTCAAATTTACCTGATAACGGTTATTTTACTAATTTTATATGTGATAATAAATAAAGTCCTGTTTAAGTATATCTTCAGACACTTTTAAGCAAAAATCAAAAACAAAAAAAAAAATAAATATATAAATATAGTTCAGGCATGTTATTTAGGGGAGAAAACAGGAACAATCTAATCCCCACTTAAAGACCATATTGTAGTAACCACGAATTAAAATATACAATATATACTACTTTATTGTACATTATTTAAGTCCCGATATTTTTGAAGAATGTTAATCATTTCCCTCCCCTAAAATAAGCACCTAATTACGTGCCTTTAAATGTTATAAACACGTATAATCTTAACACAAAGATAATTTGTTCGGACATTGGGTTTAAATACAGTTCATAATTTTCAGTTGACTTTCAATAAAGCAAGATAAAATAAAATGGAATCGACAGTCGAAAATAATTTGATATTTTATCATTTTCCCGATAATTTTATGCTCGTGAAAAAACGTGTAAGTGTTAAAAGGTTATTAGTGATGTAAAGTGCTTGAATGTAACATTAAATAAATTATTTTGACGTGCTTTTTCATATCGACACGCATGAGCGAATAAAAAATTAAAAGTACGATTTTTTATTTTTGCCACCCGAAACATTAAAAACTAAAAGGTTCGCCATCCCTGAGTTGGGGGATACGCATGTACATACGATAATGTAAAAACATCAACGCTTCGCTATAATGCACATTGGCTCGTGTACAAACTCGCTGTGAAATACATTGGACGCGTGACATCGGAAAAAATAAATAAATCTCCGATACATTTCGAAAGGCTGTTGATATAATATTATACAATACTGTTCGTACGTATACTTCTGTTAAAATTATTCCGAAACGTTGTGTGCGTTTTTTTTTTCATTCGCTTAACATTAGCATAGGTCATTACTGTAGAAAATATGATAGTCAACTAGAATACCTATAGTAGCGCTTATCGTTGTAAATAATTTAATAATATTAATAGGGATTGAAGTCGATCGATTAATTATTCATGCGATCCGTACCGTCGTGTATGACAATCGTATTTATACCATCGCTGCACGGTATAACCAACCGGCGCACGTAACATAATATATGCCTATATTATAATGATCGTTTCAAATAATTATTTTTTCCGCGCAGTCCTGCTCAGAAATCGATAAAAATTACGTTTCGTAACAGTATGCAGTCCGCTCACATTTTGATTGTTCAACCGCGATTAGTACGAGCTGGCGATTTTCCGATTTGCTTTTCCGTCACGATTGGCAAGATCTGGACCTACCCCGTAATCCGCAATGTTACATAAATCGTCGAGTTAGACCGATTGTGCATCATTCGATCAGCGACACTTTTGGTAAACACGCTCGCGCGTAACCGTAGCGATTTACTCGGCAGTAATCGATCGGTGGAAACAGAAAATGCTGTATAAAATTAGATATTATATTATATTATCTTTCTTTCTGCGCGTGCAGTCCAAGATTATTTAGGTCAGAGGTGTACGATTTAATGATTCGTAATCATCAATAGAGCGGTCCGTTTTCCCGTCGTTTCTTGATTTTAATTTCTTATCGTATTTTGGGCGGGTGGGGGGAGGGCTTCGCACCAACCACGGACTCTTGTTCTCGATACGCGCACCTTCGGGTGTGTATATATACTTGCATTTGCATACCGTGCGCGTTCAAAAACGTTGAGAATGTGCTGTGAATGGTACTCGTGGCCGCGTCCGTGAGAGCTGTTGCACGCGAACGCCGAATGTCCTCGTTGACCGATGATGTTTGGGCGCGGCCGAAGACCGCGGAAGAGGAGTTCCTCGAGCGGTTCGTGATCTTCGACCGGGCGGCGATGTCCAAGGTAGACTACGATCGGACGGTGGACAAAGTGAAGCGGTACAGGGCGATAGTGGACGCGGGCCGTCCGGCGACCCAGGACAAGTGGGACCTGATACACCGATACGACGTGGCCATGGTGGACGACCAGGAACGGCTGGTGGTGCCGGTCTCGGTGACCTCGAACTACGACCGGTTGAAGGTGTACGCGTACGCGGAGGAGGTGTTTGGCATCATACGCGAGTACCATGTGTGCGCCAGCCACAGTACTTGGGCGGACGTGCACCAACTGATCGAGCTCCGGTACCACAACGTGACGGCCAACGCGGTGGCGCTTTACGTGGTCCTGTGCCCGGTGTGCAGGTGGAACGGCAAACGGCGGCACGGGGACCGCAGCCGCGTGCCGGACACCACCACGGTAATGGCCAAGCGCGGCCAGGTGGACGTGGTGGACATGCGGTCGCGGCCCGACGGCTCCTTCCGGCACTACATGGTGTACCGGGACCAGGTTACCGGGTACGTGTACCTGCAGGCGCTCACCACCGACCACGTGGACGACGTCACGTATACCGTGTTCGACCTGTTCGCCACGTTCGGCGCGCCCGCCGTGCTGCAGAGCGAGAACGGCCGCGGGTTTGCGTCGCGCATGGTGCAGCGGCTGCGCATCATCTGGCCGGGGCTGCAGCTGGTGCACGGCGAGGTGCCGCCACACGCGGCCCACGGGCGCAATCCAAACCAGGTGGTCAAGGACATGCTGTTCAAGTGGCTGAGCGACAACAAGACGGACAATTGGTGCGTGGGCCTGAAGATCGTGCAGACCGCGTACAACAACAGGATGCACCCGGGCATGCAGAGCTCGCCGTACGAGCTCATGTTCGGCACGGTGCTCCGGTTCGGACTGGTGTTGCCGCAGCTGCCGGTAGAAGTCACGTCCGCGTTCGCGTCCGAGGAGGATGTGTATGTCGCCCTATTACGATGTAAGTACTGTTCGCAGGCTTCTCGCCCGCCCGCCCGCTCCCTCGTACGCACATTACAGCGGTAACGTGTTATTTACCGTTCCTGTTTGAATTTCATTGTCGTCGATAATTTTTTTGTGCGTCACATTGCCGAGCTCGGAATCGCGTTCCGATCACTTCCCGTAACCATAAACTGCCGCCCAATGTTCGTACCGTTGTACGAGCGGGAAAAAAATGTAAAACGACTAGTCACACGCACGCACGACCGAATCGAAGTCGAACGTGAACACGTACCAACGTTTTTCACGAGCCGATTCGCTTTATTCGCATTGGTCTTAACCGCCGTTCAGGTAGACCACGGCCGTTTTGTTCGAATCGAAATGAATTGCATTCGAAACGCGCGTCGAAAATGACTCCGGAAGTAAAAAGCCTTGTATGTACTCGCGATGGCTCGAATCGACGGCCGTAAACGTGACGCTGTTCGAACCAATCATCACGGGAAATCTTTATCGGTCTTTCCGTTTTCTCCGTCCATATGCTGCCGGCATTGGTATAACTTGTTCAGTTGGTGCGATTGACATTCGTTTTCCGTTTTGTTCAATCAAATTATCGTTTTCCTCATTTCGCTTTATATTCTTTCAGACCTGAAAAACGGTGGAAATTCCGTCCCGGACCTGCCGACCGAACTAGCCACTGAAATGTTCACTAAGGGAAAGGTCGGCGACCACGTCAAGGTGAAACTGATGACCGGTGTGGACAAAGGATTGTTCAACATACGCGACACCAAAGGCATCATACTGTCCGGTGATTATCGAAAACAATACAAATATTAATCCGACTACAATGATATACTATAGTAAAATATTCTGTAATCCCTCGACGTAGATCGAGATTGATTCAACACAGATTCGAAAAGTCGACGATTAACACAATAATAATAATAATAATATTTACAAATATAATGTACATCGAAATGCTTTAATCGTTAAAGTTTATTAATGGTTTATCCGTTCACACTGTCGCCAATGTTATTATATTGATTTGATTTGACAAGGGTAAACTACTGCGTACTTCTGTTACAATAAATATTTTATGTATATATTTATTAATATTTATTATTAATTATTATTATTATTTTATTATTATTTATTTATATTTATTTATTTTTTTTTATATCTATTGACTTATTGTGGGAAAATAACAAAAGTTTCGATGTAATAGGTGATGAAAACGTGTACTTTACGTAATATAAGCGGTCGATTGGTAGGTGAATTATATCAAAACAGTTGTTTATCTTCTTAACAATATAATACATTTTCTGTGCCGAACTAGGGAATTATTGCTGAAAATAAAATATTCATTTTATCAAGAAATACTATTCGTAACACTCTCATTACATGAATGTGTTTTAAACGTAAAAATGTAATTAAACTTAGCGTTTTTTATAAACAATAAATTAATTAAATTATTATAAATTATTATAATATATAAAAATCATATATTTCATATCATATCTTCATAATGATTAATTATTCAATTTTCATTACGATTTCCCGTAGATTTTGGTCAAAATTATATTACATTAAACATACGTGTCCATTTACAGTGAAAGGCAATATGTACGAGATTGGCACTGATTTGGGTCGACTGCCAAAGCTCTGCACTAGGGAACAATTCCAAATTTGTGACCAGGATACGCGGTCAACGGACAACAGTGTCTTTCCTTTGGACGAATATTGCACGTACGAGGTCACTAAAGATTACTCCGTCAATACGTTTGCATGCCAATGTGTAAAGCAGTGTAAGAACTTTAGATGCATGTGTAAAAGAATGCATATACAGTGCAGTTCGGTATGCCACAACCAAAGTCCATGTTTTAATAAGACATATTGCCACTCATCTTTGCCACCTGAAGATCGATAACATTGGATTGTTCTCGTTATGTTTTGCGGATGGTATAAATTAGTCTAATTAGTTTAATGCTTAGATATTATTTTATTATTTTTAGTTTTTATTCCCCTCCCACTTTTTAGTAAAAGTTTCGATATCAAATGTAGATAACTACTAAGGCGCATGTAATGTATCTAAAGTGTAAAAGGTATAATATACCTTATTGTAATAGGGCGTAAATGTATTTTTTTTTATTCCCGAAATCAGCATTGATTTGTTTACATCGTTCGGATTACACGGATGGCGCGTTAGAACAGTAAATATCGTAAACATGTAAAATTTTTTTTTTTTTTATTATTCGTATGCATTAAAGCGTACGGGAAGTATGACAGTGTAACCTTTATTTTTACTGTTCACGTATCACTCATAATGCTACACGTATACGGTAAAAGCGTATTTCGCATTTTTTTCATTTGCCTCACTAGCCAAATATCATACACGAGAAACACAACTAGCACAATTATTAAGAAAAATAAAATACTGTTGTAGATATTGTTTGTCCGGACAAGTTTTACTTATTTTTCCATTAAAAGACTTTTTACAATGCTATTTTGTTTTTGCTAGTGTTTTTATACATTCGTTATAGCGATATCGGCTGAGTGCGAGACGGAAATATTACAGTAATTAGCTATCAGTCTTACAAGGATTGAAATTATAAAGTTACCACTGTCAATTATTCTCGTATAAATATACGGGAACGATTAAGGTGCCGTGACTTATTATAAAAGTAATTGAGAGTGATATTGTTTTTGTTTTGTCAGGATCTTTTTTTTTTCAATATACGTTCAAAGTATTTTCAACTTTTTCTTAAAGATCTTAAATGTATGAAAAAGCTCCCAGCAGAACAATGGCAATATCACCATTGATTACTTTTATAATAAGTCGGGATTCCTTAATTGTTAACGTAATATTCATATGACCCTGTGCACGAAAAACAGTTTTACTACAGGTACTGCAGACGTTTTCTGAGAATGGAGACGGTTGATCTCATTGCTGTGCACTCTTATATTTGTTGAATTTTTAATGTGCAGGAGTTGACAGTTATTTTAAATGTTTATACAACGCCGGAAGGTTTTCGTAAAAAATAATTAACAGAGATTATTTGTGTTTAATAATTATTTAATTATAATTTATTTAATTAAGAAATAATTATTTGTATTATCGTTTTTAAATGTTATCAATGTTAAATACCGGTTTCCACATTGATGAAATAGTAACAATATACAAAATGTGTTAAAATACAAATAACGTGTATAATACAATATATAAACTATAATTTATCGGGTTAATATTGTAATTATAAAAGATATGTAGAAGTCGCTTTTTCTGCCACTTATCGTTTTTTCGATACTTATGTACCTATATAATATTTGTTGTTAATATTTTCATGATTTCTATATATAATAAATGCTTTTTGAAATAATTTCATACATTTTTCTTTTTAATTTTTTTTATCAAATGTAAGTAGTTATGAATTTCCCTTGTGATAATTACTGTGTACTTATAATAACACGTAGAGGCTGTAATGAATGCGTATTTAATGTACGCATTTCAGACACATAAGAATTTTTAACGAAATTTTACTAAAGTCAAATTCTGCTGTTAATAATACAAATTAACTGTTAAAATGTACATGTTATGAATAAATTAATTATTTTGAATTCTTCTCAAGCCAAATCGGTTTATGGGAAAAAATATAAATTCGACATTTGAAAGAATTCCGTACGATTAGTACGTATTGTGACCGGCATAGGATTTCAGTCATTGAAGTGTGATCGTGATAAAATCGCGGTTATTGCAACTAAATCTAAAACGCGTGTATGTTTTACCGTGGATATGTATATTTTCAATATGCACATGAAATGAACGGTCAATAATAATCAAATTGATGTAATAGCTATTCGGTGCGGCGTTAATCTTCATCAACAATAGATAGTAGGTATATATCTGGCCTCCAAACATAGAATTGTGAGCATTAACAATCTATATGACTGATTGTCAGTAATATGTCCCCAATAATTGTCGGAGTATTATAATATGCTGTAAAAAATCTCAAAAAAAAAAAAAAGAAGATAAATAAAAAATAGCATACATATATTATACCTACTCTGCGCGCAACTAAAATGGTTGATTGAGTGGGTACTGGTCCATCCCTCTTTCACGATGTCGGCGTATTAATGTTTACAAACGGACGATATTTGCGCATAATTACCGTAATACTCGTCAAAGAAAGCCGAATTCGAGCGGAGATGGAAAATAGTTTATTGATACCAAACTTGAGTTGGTTGGTATATATTTTGGCTTGCACAAATGTTAAACTATCCGAGAAAATGGGATTTGGCAGTCATATAATGTTTAAATGATAAACGTGCCTTCTCCATAGTAAACGAAAATTAAATACGTTTTGAACGTGTGCCTTGAGGGGATGTATGAGTTCCTGGGCAGAATGCAAGGCATATTATATGGAGTCAACGAGAGACGTTCCCGAAACGTTGACGGACGTAGATATTATATGGTACCATTTTGCGCGAAAAATAAGTAAACCTTAATAAAAAAAATAATTTCTTCGGCTTCTGCTCATTGATTAGTACTTAATTATCTTTAGATCCTAATGCTGTTGCGTTTTGCGTTCCATAAACGAACGGTGTACATTACGTATCATGCATACATTTATATGATACATTTCATTTCGCTAACAGTTACAATACAAACAGTGAAAGTAAAACTTGTAGTACAAACTTGCGTTCGAAAGTTACTCAGAAATAATTTAAACGATTGATCGCTACGAGATACGAATATATAACCGAGTGACATGAATGACTGCGTCCTTCCACGCGTGTACACCCATACAGGGCCGGCGAGAACTTTTGTAGGCCCTGGGGCTGATCGATTCCGGGCCCCTTTACTTATACTTATTTGACTAAGATAAACTTTAATTATATATAAGTATAAGTTTGATGAATTGTTAATAAAAAAAAAAAATACAATATTTGGTATATAAAATCTTTTGTTAGTACTGAAGAAAATAATGTAACCGACTATTTAACAGTAATTAACAAATGATTAGGTTCAATTAAAGTGTTCCTTTTCTGGCCTTATCATAGCAAATTCGTTGATAATATCATCCAAGTTGGTGTTTTTTGCCAGTACTTTTTCCACCGTTAATACTCCTAAGCTCGATAGCTTGTCTTGACTTATGGCTGCACGTAAATCATTTTCATTCTTTTTAATACAGATAAAGTGTATTCTACAATTGCTACTGTAGCAGGAATTGTGATAAATATAAGTAATCATATAAAAAATTAGTAAAATGTATCGCTCTCCAAATGTCACCTAGGTAGGCGTCCGGGCCTATGACTAAATATGCCTCTGACAACGGGCCTCCCGGAGGTCCGGGCTCCGGTGCTCTGCTTTTCCTGCCCTACCCTCTTGCCGGCTCTGCACCCATACGTCGAAAATAACAATAATGAACTTTTGTTCGTTGAGGTACGTTTACGTAGTGTTGGGTAGTCGTGAAACAACTATTAAACACGTGTGATGTCAACAAGTAGTCTATGACTATGATAACGAAAGTTAGAATATTTGAGAACTTTTGCATTTTTTTTTTCTTTGATTCTCAATAATACTATCTTAGCTAACAATTTATTTCATGCTTCCTTGATTCAAAATATTTTAATTTTATTTTGCATTTTTTTGTGCAATTTTAGCTATAAATTCATTTTATTTTTTGTTTTTAAACGTAATTTTTTTTATATTTACGTAATTTTTGTAGCTATTGTCCAACGTGAGGGAATTTTTCTTAAATTGTAAAGACAATTTGTATATTATTCATAAATATAATTTTATTATTATTATCGTGGGGTTTTTGTTATGATTATATTCATCACCTACCAATAAGATTTACCGGTTATTTTTTTTTAGTTTTATTTTACTTTTTAATTAGTTTTTAATAATTTTATATAGATACCTAAAATACTTAAATTTGAAACAAATACTTATTGTCTTATAATACATTGAGTTCCGTTTAATGTAATCACTAGTTTATTGGAATTTAAGAAACGAAATTCTAAACCAAATCATATATTACAAATGTTAAATCGACCTTTTATTTAAAACACTATGTACCGGATAATTAAGTCACTTTTATGGACATTCTTAGCATTTTTTTATGGTATTTTAAATTGATTATATGTATAAGATCAATTTTATTTTTAACATAATAATGTAGGTAGCAATGTATTGTTGTATATTGTACACTCGTATTGTTTAGTTTATTATGATTAAAAACATTTTTAAGTTCGAGTCAACAGATTATTTCATTAAAACAAAAAAAAAAAGAAAACTCATTTGATAAGTTATTTAAATTATTTAAATTATAAGAATCAAAAATGTAATCGAAAATAGAAGATAGTTTTTTAAATTATTTAAAATTACTTTTAATTCGATTTTAGTTTCATTTTAAGTGTACGTAAAAATAAAGAATCATTAAAAAAAAATATTTTATGGAGTCAACTGGTTGATAGAATAAAAATAGTTTGAACCAATGTTCACGGTATTACAATTCACATTTTAAATTACTCTGGCTCTCATTATCATACTCATATCTATAATAAAAACTGTTATTTTTAAATGAAATTTTCTTGGCTTTAGGATGTTTTTAATTTTTTTTTTTTTTTTAGGACGTTTATGTGTGTTTTTTTAGAAGATCAACATATCCCAACTCTAACGATAACAAATGTTTAATGAAAAATATACGCACGCGACACTTACGACCGCGCAGTTATTATTATCATCATTGAGTTAATGCAGTATTATTACGTGAAACGTGTACGTAGTGTTCGGACGCGTTACAATAGTATCGGCGGCGGCGGCAATAGTTTCAGAACGGACGCGCGGTTGGCCGAGCAACGGGTTAGTAAATGGGCGGGTGGTGGGTGGGGTGCTCGGAGACGACGCGGCCGTCGCCATGGTCGCGTCCGGCGTTCGCGTAACGTTCGGCGATCGTCCAACCGCCGGTGGTACCGCCCGCCACCCGGCTGCCCACTGCCGTTCGGTTCGGCACCGTATTCTTAGCGGGCGCGCTAACCCGGACGTTGTTCCGCGACGTTACAACCGCGCGAAATCCTAACTCCACCGGGGTGGGAAAACACATCGTGTCGGGTCGTGCGCGTGCCCGATCTCGGT